AGCATGTGTACAATATATATGTATTAAAAAAATCAATTCTCGTATTTGACCTACTTAATTCCATTATTCACTAACGCGATTTGAGTCAATTATTGCATACGAGGATAGTCGATATGTGTATTTCAATAACAATCAACCAAACAATTTAACTGAAGTTAAATCTCGGACCATTAAAGACTAACCATATCAATGATCCATTATGTTATTCCTATTCAACTTTAGGTAAACATGTGTTTATTTTTTTGGTAGTAATTGACTGAACTATTTTATGTCTTCGTATTAAAAGAAGTATTTTACGTCCAAGAAACAGATAATTTAGATTGGGTATATCTGTAGTTACCTTTCTAAACTGTAGGTCCGCTGAGACTGAGTACAGGATTACGGGGACTGTTCATAAATTTCTTCCGTAAGCAGATCAGATCTTACAGCCACGATGTCGGCCTGCAAATAATAATCGCCATCATGAAAGCTTAAATAAACTCATTATCCTTAAGAGAGCATTTGCAAGATATATAACGCTGAAGATGCCACGGGTATTTGGAGTTTGACAACGCTTTAAGCAGTAACACCTAATATTAATCGCACCTACCAAGTGAAATCAAAAGACAGAAGCGAGAAGGTTCGAAGATACATTTGATAATCTATCAATATCTCGAGGATAATCTCATCTAACATGGCTAGCGATTGCAGGGTTGTTGAGCACGGCGTCCCCCACGTGATCTGGTGCGGATGCATGACCGAGCACCTTCAGCTTGATGAGTCCATTAAATCTAATGTGGTCAGCATCCATTGTCGAAAACTTACAGAGCCATTTATGTTGTGGATTTATTTACTGCTACAACGTATTCACCGGGTAATGTTTCACTTCAAAATCTTTCGTATTTTTGTGCAGTTGCATTAGCTTTAACCGTTATTTTACAAAAAATTAAGCGACTATAGTTAAAAGCGTGGTGATCACTTTGATACATCTAAATTACACCATTAATGTATACCAGAGGATCTAAAACTAAAGCTCCAGTGTTAACCGCATTAATGCTATTTTTCACTCAGGTTTTCTCGTGAAGGGCTTGAAACAGATGAAACTGAAATCTATGTTATTGTAGTTTTTAATTCTTTGAAGAAAAATTGTGTATTAACACTTAAAAGACAGTTTACCGAGCTGAGGACAACAAAATTTGAGATGAAGAAACAAGTATACACGTTTTGATGTAGATGCGAGTCTGCCAGAAATGGTACAACAATAGTAAAAACGGCTGCAAAGGAATAAAGAGCTACGGTAAAGAATGAACAATCAACCTTCCAGCTTAAGACTTTTCAAGCCAACCATCCCAACGAGCATATTCTGATCACAAGATCAGTTTCGGATTTTGTTTGGGAAGGACAGGGGGTTTGATGGCCTGTGTTAGTCCTGGAAATCATGGTTACTCAGTCGACCCATTTTTCTTTTGAAAGAGTCGACGGACGGACTCTCAATCACATGCAGAGGTAGTGAATTCCACTCGTTGATAATTCAGTGGGACAGTCGATAGTCAGCTGATAAGTAATCTGTTCTGGGCTCGTGAGCTTTAATTGAGTGTCCTCGTAAACTCTGTTTTATAAGACAAGAAAAATGGGGCATATCAGGTGCAAATTTATCACTAAGTAATTTGAAAATTGTAACCAAGTCACCTCTAGTCCTTCGATATGATAACGGGAATAATTTTAGCTTAGCTAGTCGAGCACCATACAGGAGCTTCACTATTCTGAGAATCAGCTTAGTCGCTGTTCTCTGAACCATTTCGATGGCTCGCTGTCCTTTTTGAGTAGAGGCTAGTCGCTTGTATGCGGTTCCCAAGTTTAGGACACACGAACACTGTATACAAAGTCAAAAACGTTTTGGCGTCGACATGACTATGGGCCTTAATTCGCTTGACTATTTAGTCTATACACCTTTAGCAAGGTGACTCCTGAGATATTTTGAAGAATAAGCTGATTTAGAAGTTGGTTAATCAACCCAATGTCGTGCTCAAAACGAGTTTTAGGTTCTAAGATTTCACTTTACTTACTTCTATAAAAAATAACTGACCTGTCATTGTGATCAGTCTTCATTTTCTCGGATACATTTTGGGGGTTTGGATTTTCATTTATATCGTTATGCCGTTTCTTGTTTACGACCTGTACCCATTCATCAACTTTCTTAAGAGTAGCAACCACAGTCGCGTCAAACACATGGTACGATTCCGAAAGGTTATTGAAGACTTTGGCAGCCAGGTTGTGTTTCCCACTAAAAGCAGATTGAACCTTGCCAAAGCAGTTCTTAGGTGTTTCCTGACGACTGCTATTTAGAGGACGTGGGACAGAAGAAACGTCCTTTCTGGAGTTTTTATTTAGGACAGACCATTTTGTAGACAGACTTTTCTCCTTTGATTGCTGTGAGTCAGTTGTTTATGAGCTAACACGAGGTGAATTTAAATCAATTTGTGTGTCGACAGAGAGAGTGCTGTCAGATATGTCTCGACATTGTTCGCTAACGCACTTTTATGCAGCATTTACCATTGAAATGACCTCGGTTAGCAAGTTGTTTGCGTTCGAGCATCACTGCCTGCAAAGCCATATGCAACCGATTTTACTAAATCATTTGAATGCCGCAGACGTCGAATTCGTGCAAACATCGTAGTACTAGTCTTTGCACTCATCGTGCTACATGACGGTTTCAACGGGATATCGACAGTCCGGACGTTGGCAATTACTTTTCTTAAACTGTTTAGTCACCAAAAAGAGGTTTTCAATAAAAATAGATACAATAGTACCCAGGGACAAAGGTGATATATGGCCGAAAAAGTGGTAAACCGTAAATTGTTAGAACCAAAAAAAACTAACAAATACAATAGAAAACAAAGTGCTTAAAATGCCAACGATAAACTATTTTAAAAGCAAAAATGACACTCTCATCGGGTCCCTTAACTGAAACAAACTAAATTAAAGTGTAGAAAGTAGTCTTGATAAGTAATAAACGATCAAAGTAATAAGATTTTTTCAGTAAGGAAAAATATCACTGTCATTAAATAGCACACCTAATTATTTTGGTAACCCGTTATGGTCCACAAATTAATAAAAGAATAAACGAATGGATAATTTTTACGTGCTCGATTTTCTCAATTCATCGCTTTTAGGCGGACTTTTAGGAATAAAACGCAACATTTCCTCGAGTAGCTACGGCAATTCATTTTTTTTATTTCACAGTAACTTTTCTTACGTTGCATGTAAACGTTAAGCTAGTCACACATATCCTGGTAGTAGAACCAATTATATTCAGTCGGGGGATCCGGGAAATATCGAAAATTTCACTTTTTGCTTCTCTGACATATTGCTTGTTTTAGTTCAGTCTAGGCCACGCGCCAATTGTGTGGCGGCCACATCTATTGCGCGAGTACTGTTTGTGTTTCATAACGACTTCGTTACATAACAGTACCGAGTACTTGTTGATAGTCAATCTCGCGCAGATATATATTCACATAATTCATCCTGGATCTTTTCGTAGGTTTAGTTCAATATTGACTGATGTAATCATGTTACTCTTTTCATGCTTAACAACTGTTAACGGCTTTATAGCCGTTAATTTTTTTTATTTGGTACGAAAGCGATACATTTCATCTAGAAATCTTTTTCCTCACATAAGCAGTAATTTTTATGTGCGTCTGCTTAGGAAATATGATTCGTGTGGTACTGTCATACCATCGTAGTATGTTATTTATATCCTTTTGATTCTCTTTGTTTCCTGTCTTCAACTTTTTCATTACAAGATGCCTCTGCTTACTCCTTAAAGTGTAAGTTCACATAGCACTTTAGGTACTTTTGATCAGGGCATTCTTAATAAAGGTGGTTTAGCTGTCAGGTTGGAATTGTGCATTCATGTACAAGGATCGTTTTCATCTTGCTAACTTCTGCCACGTATTTGTAGTTAGGTCACAATATTTTCATCAAATAACAAGAATACATCCACGTGGTCCTTGTGTTTCGAGGCACCACACAGACTCAACGCAACTCCTAGTAAAGTAATTCAATATTCTTTCGAATTTGTTATTTTCACATCCAAAACCTAGATTGTTTTTAAACTTCCCAGTCTCCAGGTTGGTTTTGATCGCCGGGAGTTGTGAACAACGTGCTAATGCTGCAAAATCTGCATGTTTGACGTTCAGCTTCTGAGGAAAGTACAGACCACACATTACTGACTTTGGATTTTCACATTCAAACCATACTATGTAACTAAATAAATTGAGTATTTAGTACATTGTGTGCCTAATGTCCACTACTTATGCCTTTGCGTCAGCTTAGGGTGGATATTTTGTCGCCGTTTATATTTCACATGATTTTGTGATCCCTTTACTACTCGATATTGATGAGTTCATTTCTACAATACTCAACTTGTCCCTATTAATTACCTTATCTCAAAAAAGCGCTTCCACAGACTATTCTCTTTTTAATTCGAAAAGATTTGGTTCATGTCAATAATTTCAAATCCTTTGATTATGGGTTTTGTGAACTCCTTGCTTGTTTATAGTACCTTCTGACGTAACCTATATCATGAGGTATAGAGTAGAAGTTTGTCTTCCATCATCCAAAAAGCTACATGTTTAGAATGTCTTCTGGGTTAATTACACTCAGCCCAACTTTATATCTTACTGCTTCACTGCATTGTAATATTCGTAACTACTCTAATCTTGATCCTAACCTTCCAAAATATTCATAAATGTAGTATCGTCAGTTCAACAATCCACCATTAGTTTTAAATTGCGGGAATTTTTACGGGATTTTGTTTTAAATTTCACATATTACTAGCCTCCACTACCAATATTTATTAGAGTTATTTTTCCCTTTTACAGATTATACTAGACGAGTGGATTACCATCTCTTTCTACTCTCATTCTATGTTTCCCTGAATAGTGTTGTCAGGAAAAGAAAGCATAAATCATTCCATTAACTATAGTAATTTCTCAGTAAACGCGGCAGAATCTCTAAGATGGATTTCAGAGAGCTTAATGAATAATTATGCTTACTCCTCCAAAGAATGAATGAGTCGTCAAGTCGTAACTCTCTAGTCGGTAGAAATACTGGATTGAATCCTAACGTCATGCGTGACAGTTTGCGTGTACTTAACTCTTCGTGTACTGTAACCACAACTACTCATGCTCTTGAAAATCGATCAAATTATCCACCGAATACTTCGAATCACGGGTTTTTATGCTCCGAAAATGGTTTCAATAAGTCTATCTCCACTTTTCCCAATTGTTCGGTTGATTCCTGCTTTCCTAGTCTCACTGTCTCAATGGAACAGAATTCGGTTACGGATTATTCTCAGTGTCATTCATGTGGTAGCTCCCCACCGCCTCCAGCATTATCTCCCGTTAGTTCCTCTCCTACTCATGGAGCAACAACCAAAATAACCAACCTTCCTCCCCTTCTCCTCCAGTCATAGTTGCTGAAATTCGAGGTCCTTCATCCATTTCATCCCAGTCAGCTTCCGAGAAAAGCTCTCGTCCCAGGGGTGCATTTAAAATGAATCAACATGCTTCTCAAATTCTGAGTAAACCACCGAATTCTAGTTGCCCAAGGATAGCAAGCGATATGTTTATGTCTAGTTCCAGTAGCTCATCTTCGTCTACATCTTCCTCCTCGATTTTGAACGAGGCCAACCATTCTGCTAATGGTTTACCAATTCTCGAAAAAATTTCTATTGTTCTTGGTTCTCCAAGACGACCAGTTGGCGAAAATTCAATAATTCGCGCAAATAACACTGATTCACCTTTAAAAAATGAAGATGCAAGACTTCCAAAGTTGGTTCTAGAGAATCATATCCATTCATCAAATAGTAAAGAAAACTCCCCAGAGAAGGTTGATGAACCCCTCAAAGCTGACTCGTCTGTTAAAAATGAAGATACTAAGTCGAATGTATTGAATGAAAAGTCTAAAGTGGCAACAAAACGAAAAACATCAGCTCGATCAAGACGTCGACCTAAATCACGAAAAATTCGAGGAGATTCTGATTCCGATTTCGAGCCATTTTCCCAGTCTCAAGCAGGTGGATCTCGTGGTAGAGCCGATGCCAGAGCTCTTATTCGTCGGGTTCAACAAAAAGTCAACAATAAAAAGTGGGTTTTTTTCACTCGTTTCAAACATATGTGTGCATGGTTTTTTTTACATAAATATTTAATTTTATAATAATATATAATGTATTTATTCAGGACTAGTTGTGTCTTTTATTCTGTCAAGTTTATCGTATAAGTGTGCCTTATTATTTTTGATTACTAGTTTTTTTATGTTTAATACTTTGTAGACCACCATAAGGAAAATGTAAAATAATGTTAACACTAATCCTAAAATTTAAAGCTAAAGAATAAATGAACTTCACAAGATATTACAAACAATTTCAGACAGTACACAGAAATTTTCTTACTTTCATTACATCTACTTTGTAAGGCTGATCTGTGATAGTGGAATGACTTTAGCATGTACTTAAGTTCCTCCAGGTCTTATTGAACCATTTATTCGAGAACCTGATATATCAAATGAAATAAAGCTGATGTATCCACACTGCATGCTTTCATTCGTTGGATAACAAGAATTGATAAATACATTAAAAATCTGATAGAACAGACTAGTCTATATTATAACTATACTTTCATTCGTATGTTTCATTTCCTTAGTTTTATCAATTTAAAAATTTCAAATCTCCGAATTTTTATTGAAGTTCATAGACATTTAATGTCATTAATGCCTTTATTTGTAAAGCAAGATCATCCAACAATCGAAAACATTTCACTTTGTAATATCTTAATTTAAGTTTATTCTCAATCGTTTTTAGATCTGTTGCTGGTGTTACATCTGACACTCCTGGTGGGACCAGTGCAGATATTGCAATGCGCAGAAAGTATTTAGAATCACCCTTTTTATGTCTTTGCCAAGCTGGAGGAACAGTTTCTAGTCTTATGAAAACTTCGGACAACTTCACTAAATACAATTGCATTCCTTCTGGATCTAAAATAGTCTCTAATAATTCAACAACTAATAATGAGTTGATTGATATGAATTCATCTTTTTCTGCCCATATAATTAACCCAGCTTTACGTGACTTGTCTGTTCAACAAGTTAATGGATACTTCTCTCATTGTACCATGCCTGTTAGTTGTCCATTCAAAGCTAATCTAACTGGAAGCGCATCAATTAAACTTGATAAAAATGACGTTGGCATGGAATCTCGTAGTATTCTTACAGGTAAGCATAAATTTCATTTAAATCGTTTTCGTAACAGTGTACGTAACTTGTGCAGGTCACAACTTATGTGTATATAAATTTTTCACCTTAGGTATTACATATAGACCTTCAGGACCTCTCCGGGTACGTGACTATCAGTTTCCAACCTCAGTAAATCCTAATAGCCTTTGGATATGTGCCTTCTGTGGTGAAGATAACAATTATACTGAAATTGGTTGTTTATATGGTCCCTATTGGCTTACAGAAGCAGATATGAAGCAATTACCTTCAGAGCTCATCTATGATTCCACTAATGAATACCAGTCTCCTGATACAGTGACTCAGTCTAATACACCCATGACTCCTGTATCCAGACGTGCAAGAAGTATAGAAAAGGCAATTCGTTCTGGTGTAATTACTTCGACTACTACACGATCGTCAGCAGCCCAAGGACGTCCTACAGCTGCTAATACTGGTTTTCTTCGCCTAGTTATCAAAGCTTCAAATAGTACGATAAATAATGATCACTCCGCGACAAAAAATTCACCCGATCTATCTAAGATAACAAACTCTTGCAGGCCTAGAGTAGGATCGAACGGTGAAGTCTGGTTTCATTTTGAATGTGTACTTTGGGCTCCTGGCACTTACGTGAATGGAAATGGTGTTATTGGCGGTCTTGGTGATGCATTACAATTAGCCCTTAATGCAGTAAGTTTTATTTCTGCGACACTCAGTGTAATCTCTTTGATCATATATGTGTAGAATACTTTTTTGTGACAATAAACACCTTTTTAATCGATACATAGAATTATCAGATTTTACAAACTGTCTTATTTACATCCAATGGAAATTTCACTGTATTTTATTCAGTAGAGCCGCTCTATATTTCCAACAAGAATAGCAGTGACATATCTACATCAATTTCACAAATTATTGTTATCCTAGTTCTTCAGGAGTGTTCTAACCATATAATTACTTCAAAGTTTAAAATTCATTTCATTGTGGACATCCTAGAAAGTGCACACTAGGGGATGACAGATATCAACTGATTCTTAATTTTCCCATTATTTCTGAACAAAGATATTTTATAGTGCTACACATTACCTTAGAGTTACACCACATTGGCCATGACAAGCTCATAACTTTGTCCTTAACTCATAATCTCACTGAATAATCAACCGATTTTTTTGTCTTTACTGAAGACTCGTGAAAAATCATCTCGTTGATTTAGATGCAAAATCATTGTAGATGGTTGTCACCCATTAGTCAATTCGATTAACCTCCAAACTTTACTTAACACTCTCTTCTCAAGTTATCAAAAAAGACTTTCTACTGTTTGACCCACCACGATTATGCGATCGTAGTTGTTGTTGGCCTAATGTCTGCCCGTTAGCATGTTAAAAGGTATATTTTCAAGGTGAAATCTCATCTTAAAAAGATCATCTGACGGTTACAATGATTTGTAACTTGCATGTTCTTATAAAGTATTTGAACGGGATCACATTCGGTACATTATAAAACGCGTATGATCACTAAAGTAAGACGTCGTGTATATCTTTATATCTAGCCACAAGCTCTTCCCTGGAAAAACCCAGTATAACAATAAATAGCTCTGTTTAATCAAACATTCTTGCAAATTCCCATTGGAACAGTTTTACTCAGTAATATTTCTTTGATGTCATCGTTGACCAACTTTGTACATATTTGAAAACTCAATAACAAGTGTCATTCGAAGGCATAGATAAAGTTGAATTGTCAGTGACCTATAAACTGTCTAGCGCAATTCTTGAATAATCACAACTCAGCTGAAAATTTTCATGGGGAATTTACGCTTTTACCAACCATTAGTTTTATATATTATCCTCTCTGTATTTTTTATAGCCCTACCTGACTTGTGTGTTAGTTCTATTTATTACATATACTGAATCAGTGACCCAATGGTTAAGACATTCGAATTCCAACCACTACGTTCCTGATCCGAACCCCACCGCACTTCAGTTCGGGCAAATTAAAAAAACGTTAGTGGGGACCAAACCATGACTCCGTCAGTTCATCAAGTCATTGGCTATTAAACCGATCCACATAGGTAGATACAAACTATCTGGTTAGTGTCTAGGTGGTCACCACAATCAAGTGGTTGGACACTTCGTGTGGTGTGCCTCAGGATAGGCGTTAACGGCACAGATACATTCACCTTTAATCTTCCTTTAGGTCTTGAATTCCAGCCTTCCTTCATTCACATTTTTTAACCATTTTCTCAGTCCTTATCCTTTCTTATTATCAATACTGCCACATTATTTCAATTACTATACTATTCATCTTGTCCTGCTTATGTGATATGGTGGCTTTGACTAGCGCATATACGTCCGAGTCTCTACATAGATGATGACTGCATTCAGTTTGCACAGCCCGATAGTCTCAATAAACGTCACAATTGGAGTGTGTGTGTGACTCGGCCCCAAGTATATGAGTTCGTACCTAGTAATTGAGTTAACAAGTATAGAAAAGATTTAATTACACATAAAATCGTTATTTCGACGAACTCAATCAGTCAAACACAACATAGAACGGGTACTTATATAAATCTGTCCAAGCTACCATAACTCATTGGCACAGTCAGATGGCATCGTTAGTGTAATTCCCAAAGTGGTAGATGTAGTAACAGTATTAGTAGTAATCGGAAGTTTAGGCATCGAAGATACAGTTCCAAAACAATCTAACTTCGTTTAATTCTATCCTATAAAATAAAACTCTAATTCTGTTTAATTAATTTCATTTATTTTCCATTATTTAGCATTGTTCACATTGTCAAAGACCTGGAGCAATTCTAAGTTGTTGTAATCGAGGATGCAATTTGAGTTATCATTATCAATGCGCACATAGAGCTGGTAAGAGAGTAAAGTTAGGTGTTTAAACAAAATTCTGAGCTATAATAATATTTCGATAATTTTTTAGACCCTATAATGTAGTATGCTAGGTTTTCCCATTCCTTTCAATCATTTTTTAGAATAATAGATTTTTGTTGTAATTTCATTAGAAATACTTTATCTTTGATGAAAATGTCTTTTTTAGTTTTCTTCTTCCCTAATCACTTGTTTGTTCATTGGTTCGAATCTACTGGCTATAATAAAATGAACTCAATAAACAGATGTACATATAATTCGACAAGGGTTATTTAGCAGCAGAATCCAAGATGAACATTTCATTCTACTTGTTTGAATTTTTATTTCTTGTGTCTATTTGGGTTTATATTGCAAATAATATTTACACGTATTACTAACAGTTTCAAACATGAAAAAATCTCTCCAGTCAACTACTGAGTTGTGATAATAATCTCGTGTTTAACTGTTATTTCCATCAACTATAATCACTTCTGTGATTTATCATAGTACTTAAGTTTAATGGTTGTAGAGTTAGCATTCAGTAGTAGGTAAATAAACACAAGACGTAAGTGTTATTCATGGATCTTGAATCATATAATGCCCATTTTTAACTTTACTATCAAATTAATTATATGAAAATATTGAAATGTCCAATCAGTAATATATTCCAAATTCTACGAAAAGAAATTTCACACTAACACTTTTATCTTAATTTCAAGGCTGTTTGGTTGAAATGGTAGCGAATCTTCATCTCCTGAAGCAGTTGAGACATTTATATATCCCGAACTAGCACTAACCTGGACGGAAAATGTTTGCTGTAGTTACGATTAGGTTGAAAATAAACTAGCAGCGGCTAATCCAAGTTTTAATGTCTGTCAGTGAAGTCATTGACAGTTAATAAGTGTCAGATGCATGGTTGAAATTCACATGATTGTCATAACCAGTGATTGGAGACATTTGGATGACATGGCGCTAATGTACTTTCTCCCTGTCTTCCTTTAGATCTTCAGTTTTAAGATTATCTTTTTCTGCCTATCCCAAAAATTTGTCCTTATCAAATCATATTGTCTGTGGCTGGTATTTTCTACTACACATGATATCGTTACTACTTCTTATACTCGGGTATTTGGCTTGTTGCTTTGCTGATGTTGTTTGGCAACCGATGCTCATATGTCCCAGGTTTTATGTTCTTTGTGACTGACTAATTCATTTCATTGACCTATGTTCGATAACTGATCAGCAGACATATCTTAACAGACAGAGTCTACACAATTAAAAAGGTTTTTAAGGGTTCATAGTTCCTCTAGTTCTAGCAATGACATTTTCAGCGATTTCATCTCAACTTCCTTTGGTTTATAAATCAATACTCTTTTCTTCAACTTGGTTTACACTGAGATTATCGGGTTAAATCTCTATAAGGAGATAATTTATAAAGTTCCCTTTTTAAAAATTTCATTTAACTCTAATAGATGTTACAGTATTTATTCAAGGACTATTAATAGGCAGGAAAATGTATTCTATCAACTTAATTCACCGTATCTCATATCCGTATATTGTTGATCATCACTATCTTTTGTTGTGGAATTATAGTAACTTACTTATTCCGAGAAGTTCGATGTGCATCATATTCAGGAATATTATTAGTACAAAAAATACGACAGTAAAATAATACAATTCCACTACAACTACAAAACCTATATTTAATACCTTTAATTTTTTTCGTTTATGTCCATATGACATTTGTTATTTCAGTCATTCGTACAATCAATCGTATAATTTCTTTAGTAATTGAAATCTTCACATGAATCAGTTATCTTCTGGAAATTTCTTCTTAGCTTTTTTGTTGATCAAATGCGAGCTTGACAATAAAGTTAGTTTCAATAGTTGAAATCATGAGTCAATTAAAGCTAAGCCATCATAGAAAACCTGGGAGCACTGGATGGCCGTTTTGTCCTATTGTGGGTCTCCTCAGCAGTGCGCATCCACGACTACGTCTCGCGTGATTCGAACTCATGATCTCAACTACTGAAACTACTACAATCTCCACAAAACCCGTTCTAATACTAATAAAGTTAGTTTTATAACACTCAAGTATGAGGCATAATTTTGATATTAGACGTTTCGAGATAATCAATCGAAGGCCCCATCGAAATATATATTCATTTGTGTTGTTCAACAATCTAGTTGAAACGTGTACAGTGCATCGGTAATTGAAAAAAATCTAGGCATCATTAAACACTGCAACATTGTTTAGCTCATAAACAATGATTTTTCGATTAGATCAGGACTGATCTTTTTGTTCAATCTTAATAAAATATTTTTCTTCGATGTTGCAAATTCAATCTAATAGAAGACTGATAAAATATAGCTTCTTTTCATTAACATACCAGATTGATTTCAATATATCGTTAAATTAAAAAAAAAATTGAGTTCACAAAATGTGGAATACTGAGTTTGAACTTTGAGTAAATATTATCTTAATCCACTTGATATCAGAATGTATGAGTTTTATTCATTACTGAACTGTAGGTTCATTATAATCCACTTTAATAAAAAATCTATCCTATATTCTCTCACGCCAGTCAATCTCCTCTATTAATAATTTTCTGTGTTTGTCAAGAAAGAAAAAAAAGAAGATTAACCTATAACCTTCTATTTACTTTTAGAATGTCATTTGGATCGAGATCAATATATTTTGCTGTGCAAAAAGCATCATATCTATTCATAGTCGGTTAATCCATTGGCATAACAACAGATATCACATATATACTTATCATAGTGATTACGAAGTGTTTGTTTTATTACTGTTCCATGTTTATATATCCTAACACATTTAGTTTGTTTTTTCTTCAAAAAAAGAAGCATTGTTTTGTAAAGATATTTTGTATATGTATGTAGTTAGATAGAGGTATGTTTGCACACTTTTTTTTCCTTCTTCAATGATATGATATATTGTATAGGTGCTTAATAATTATTGAATCTAAAATACAGAAATAAGTGAACACTTTCCTATCGCTTCACTACTTGTGAACAAACTACAATGTAGGAAGAAAGAAATAGTGATTGTACAGTTTTTTCTTCCATCTTTCTTTCTTTCGTTTTCATTATACACGTTTTGTTGTTTGTTTGTTTTTTACTCATACATGTACGTATTTATGCTCTTCATATTATTATTGTTATTTTTTTATTTTCCCTATTTTGACTCAAACTAAATCCGATAGTAATGATAATGATCATAAATTACAATCAAATCTACTTATCTATCTGATTTTATTCATGTATTTTATCAATGGAATTTGTTTCTCTATGCATGTATATCTATTTATGTATCAATTTATTTATGTATATGAATTTGTTGAAAGATTATGCCTTTTATATTTATTCTTTTGAAAATGTATATTTATGTCTATGGGAACAAGTGACAAATTGGTGAAAGGTTGGTGGGATTTAAGGAGCAGTTGATGAAAATATTTATACCTAGTAGCTTTTGTGTGCATGTGTGTGTGTGAATAAGTATGCCAAGTGTTACTATCCCTCTGAGTTTATTTTTCCCTCATTTTGATCTAGAAAATATACCAAGATAAATTGAATATTAATTATAGTGTATACGTGTTCTCAAATGCTGAGAGAAACAATTCCACTTAGAGTTGTATATTCTGATGATATCCAGTTGATTTTTCTAAATTACTACTATTCTTCTTTGTCTTATCTGTTGGTTTTCTTTCCAAAGTAGTATCCACTTGTATATGAAAGGTGTTTGTTAGTCTTGTTTTCTAGTTAATTGTTTTTACTACAATTGTGCTTCTCTTATTGTGTGTTTTTAATAAGATTACTTCTATGTGTGTATAAGAGGTCATGATATTGATATATATACTATAACAGTCTATCCGTTTACAGATTATGCGTGTCCAGTACCCGAGCTTGTTATATACTGTTTATTTGTTTGTAATCATGACCTTATACCATGGAAATTTTGCGTTTGTATTTATTTGTGCGCTAAATGAATTATTCTCAACTCCTACTTTAATATGGTGGACGACACTGCTTCTATCATCTCGTTCTCTGCTGACCAACTTGAGTAAGAATTCTAGGTTTGTGTAGATTTTTTGATAGAGAAGCCAGGAAAACTAATTTACATACTAGTTAAGTCAATATGTATTGACCGAATTCAATGATCATCAATTACGAAATTTGTTACTCAGTAATTGTCACTTTGCATAAAATTACAACGAAAGTGCCCTGGAATCAACCAATTAATGTCATACAGGATAAATCAATGCAAATGAAAAAATGTCTAAAATCAGTTGTACAAACAGTAGCATTTGGGGTCGATTACATTTATTTGGTCACCTCCTCCCAAATAAAACTTCTAGGACATATCTGACTGTAAACTCTATTTATTATTTAGCGGTCATTGTACCATCATTTCTGGTGTGTTCTGTCTATGTGTTCAGTAGCCTTTATTTCGTTTAGAAAATTGAAGTAGTTGTATTAGATGAATAAGATTGTTGAAACAAATAAGTTTTAGTTTTTATCGAACTTATGGATCAATACCTTTCAGTATTATCAGATTAAGATGTTTCAAAGAATTTAAGGAGTGGGATTAACGTCAATGCTAATTAGCTGTGTAGATAGTCATGATTTCCTATGGGACTAAATGAATAAGAAGTTCTTACGTTATCAGCCACAATCTCAATGAAATGAATCCTCTAACTGGAACTATATTTTAAACAGAAATGATTGAGTTGATCAATACAACGATAACCAGAATACAGCACTGGACAGTGTGGATGTTAATTACTTATATATCGTATCCCTAGTGTGTTATGTGTAGACACCTTACTTTCGGTATGTATATATGCATGTGAAATTAACCTGGAATATAGTGGGAAGTGATTGGGCAAGCTTTACTGATTAGTTTAACAATAGAAAAAGGCCTATTCAAACAACTAAAATGTAGTACATAGATCCACAGGTCTCACACGTCGGCTGCATAAAATCTTGGTATCGTCAGTTACAGTATTATCCTAGGACAATGTTGTTCTTGCGAACACTTGAGACGGATGAAATGACAATCAGTTGCATCTAGTGTTACCATTTATGAATAAGATCAATAAGTAAGGAACATCAAAGGTTAACAATATTGTCAACTTGTTGCGTCCCTTAAGTTTCAGAGACTAAGTTTTGAGCCACTTATCCAGGTGAGGTCAATGGGATTAAATCACTCCTGAGTTTGTCAGTTGCCATCTTTTCCTCATTGACTGTAATGTTTGCACAAAAAGTAACTTTAACACATTATGAGCATTTTCGAGTACAGAGAAGTTCAATTATGAGAAGCTTGATACACCACAGATTAGCCTTCAGAGGTTTCCGACAACTGCATCAACCAATATTATGAATCAGTAAGGTGATGCTTAGGCCTCCGAACCGCACAATATAAGTTTTCTCCATTACAAATACTGACATAAACTGTTCAGCTGACTGGAACTCATGTTTTCCTGTAAAAAGGTGGGTGGTGCATCAAAGTAATAAGAGTATTACAATGATTATGTAGGAAGCAATTTCCTACAGATCCAACTCGAAGCTAATCCCTAGACTGTCGAATACAGAGTCTTGGTTCGGCCAAAGTCAGAACAAGCAAGCTAAATTGGCTAGATAAACTTTATCTGTTTCTAAAACATAAATTAACATCGTTAGTGTACAAACAAACAGCACGGTCTATTAATACAGGGAAAAACAAAGACAAATAACATACCGAACAGTAGCCAGAGAATAGGAAAATGAGTCAAGAAAGTAAATATTGTTTTACAATGAACATCAAACTGCGATTGGTTAATAAAGAGATACAGCCGCACAAGATCAAAGGGAGTTAATGTGGTGGTGGGCGTTTCACTTTATTATTGGTGTGTTTGTCTATCAATCACATTTTACAGTTTCAATGTCATGTATTATTGAAACATCATGAAGAATCTAGTAAATCAATCAGTGATTTGTTATAAACAGTCAGATAACGAATGACACGACCAACAAGATTTACAAAATAAAGTAAATCATTGGCAGATTAAATGTGCAACTGTTGTTACATCTTCCACAAACAGACTGTTTTAACATTCTAAAGACTAAGAAATGCCACTTGGAAAAAGTAACACCGTTTAGTGAGATGATATGGTAAACGGCAGTGAAGCATCGATTGTAGTAGAGTTATATCACAGATAGACATTGGGGTAGAGATTATAACAAGGGAGTGATGGACTGCTTTTGTTGTTTTTTCACAGTTCTCAAATGGGTACACCGACCCCTGTCGACAGGGATTTAACTAACCACCCTGAAGTTAACTTGCTGTTGTTTTATTATCAGATCACACAGTTACAAACCAACAGTCGACATTCCTAATTTCAAACGAACTTTCGTTATAGCATGTGTACTATCGAGTTCCACAGCTAGATACGCTCTCGTTACCAACATAACTGAATTTCATTACTTATAAGCTTCATTAGAACCTTGGGAATCTGTCTCGATGAAATCCAACAATGAGAAATAGTTATAATAATAATGAGAGCAAACGTCTATGCGTATGATCTCTGAAATGGTCTGGAAGAGGAGTCAACTAGTGAGATGAAACATCGTCTAAATTTCCACTGATTTTAAAATAATGTCAGCCAACGACGAATTTCTAATGATAATCAAACTAGTCTTCACAAAATCTTTAAATAATATTTAAACATGACTACGAGGAAGTTAATTAAATAAACAACAGTAAAACTCATTGAAATATAAGTATGAAAATTTGTGGAGATCAGAGTAGTTTCACAACTGGCGGTCGTTGAATTCCTGGAAGCACTGGATAGTCGTTTGGTAGTAGTATGAGAATCCTAACCCGTGCTTATCCACGTTCCTACGAGACTCAAACCCAAGACGTTCAGTCTCAAGAGCGGACAGATAACGTTCACACCACTAACCTGCTATCCAATGGTGTCAATGTTTAGCTTCAACAAATCTATGCTGTAGCGAGACTCATCATCTGTTCCATGAGGCGTATATCGATCTCACACTCGACGCAGACTGAACTCCATAGGTTACGGTCTCTCACTACTATTAAAATGATATTTTTATCTGTAATTAATGTGTGGAGAGTGAAAAGTACATAGTGTCTTTCCACCAATATAATTCCAGTGATTTTTCAAAAATATGGACAAGATACTCTTAGTAAGAACTTCTTTCACTCTGCTTACGATTGTTGGTCACGTTTGGAGGAATGATATTTTGAGAATACTGACCGAAATTATCGAGCATTTCAGAATAAAGATTATTCTCGGTTGATATCTTAGTTCTTAGAAGGTGAAGAGAGATTAATTCATATATGAATTGAATTTTTCCCAGACATTTTGCATGTTAAAACGATGTTTGATCAGTAAACTTGAAATAAATCGTTTACAAAAGGTGGATGTGATCGATTATTAATTTTAGATTGAGAATAGTTATAAAAAGAAAGCGAATTTGGAAATGGCAAATGCCGACATAGACCTCGAAATCACTTGCGCTCGTGTATGTTGTACAGATCCAGTTCACAATCATACGTGTATATAAATCTGTAAATTTTTGGAATAAACCTGTTTACTGATTGTAAATAAGTAGTATGAATATTACGCAAAATAGTGGAAGAGAAGTCAGTAAAGGCAGAATGTAAAACAGACTTAAAAATTTCCTAAATTCAATAAAGTACATCAC